ACAGGCGTCGCGGCGGCAGCCGGTGTGGGACGCGGAGCACGGCACCCCCGTGCCTCGCAGCCCCCCCCACACTCCCCACCCCACTCGGTCCTTTAGGTCCGAGGTAAGGCGCGGGGGGCCTCGGTCCCGCAGGGGCTGGCGGCCGGTGGCCACGCCGGGCAGCACTTGCTGGGGGGGGGGTTGGGGCGCAGGGTGGTGTGCTCCCCCCGTGAATGCGCTCGAGTGTTCTCGAGGGCACACCGAAGTGGTTCAGAGTAAGTGCTGGTTGCAAATGCTCGTATTTGTAACGGTCGTTATTGAAATTAGGCGATGATTGTCTCTCCTCGGTGTAATCTGTGCGAGTTTGTTTATGGTGGTGTTAAGAATTGAGGAGAAACCCAGGCACTCCGAAGAGACTGAATTATTATCACCTGCAAGACAGTGGCAGTCACTAGAAAGTAGATGTGGGCCAAAACCCAGACAGAAACCCGAGGTTTTACAAACACTGATAGGAGTTTTGGAAATCTCACTTGAGATATCTAATAAGGCAGAGTGTGGATGCCAGAACTTGACAAAAATCAGTAGTTATGGTCCCAATCTGTAATTCTTTCTCAAACCTCTGTGCAGTGAATATAGGAATATAGCCCTGTAGCAGTAACCCAAGTCATCCACGTACTGGAGGGATGTCCTGTTCCTCCAGGACCCTGGATTCTCCTTTCTCGAGCCTGGGTTGTCCAGCACTGTTTGTAGCCTGGCTCCTGCTTCCCCGGGGGAACTGGCGCTCCCCACAGGCACGCGGTGCCAGGGCACCCCTTCGTTTGGGCAGGGACAAACCCGTGTCCGGGTGGGACTCTGCGAAGCTGAATGGGAACAGCAGCAAAACCAGGAGGGATGCTCTCTGTCCTGTGTTGGGGGGGACGGGACAGGGTAGTAGTGTTTCAGATGCCTCCACCTGCAGCTGGAGTGAGCAAGCCGGAGTAGAAAGTGAGCGTTGCAACCTTGGGGCTACTGCAGTGCAGTAACGGGAGATGACACCAGCCCAGAGTGCTTCCTGCCTGAGCTTGGGGTGCTTTCACCTAAAGGAGACATAAGTTCCCAGCCACTTCACATTAAACAATGAGCGGGCAATCTTGTGGGTAGAATTTCCAAATATATTGGAAAACCTGCTGATTTCTAAGCCACTTGGAAAGATTCAGATTTGGCCTTTTTTCCCCACTTTTTGCTTCTCTGAGCAGTCCTTCATCTACGAGGCATCCTACAGGGTGGCAGAGTCACTCTCAGCATGGTTTGTAGTGTAGGGAGGCACAGAGAGATGCTATTCAGACCAAATGAGTGCAGGAGCAGAGGAATGACTGAGCAAGAGACTGGGACTAGACACTGCCAAACGCAAGGCATGCAGTAATATTTTCCAGATAACGTTTCATTTTTTCCTCCCCTCCTTTTCCTTTGCAGTTCTTATTTAGGATTTCAGCTCTCTAGTTTTATGTTCCAATGTATACAAGTATCTCATCTGAGATGCAGTTACTACCTGGCTGTGCTAGTCTGTCATGCAGCAGAGTAGAAACATCCTGTGACGTCCAACTGGTTCGCGCAGTGATGTGGGGGAGCTGCCGCCAGTGTGGGGGTGTCAGAACCCCTGAAGGTGGGTCTCGGCACCCCCCTGTCCCGGGCCAGCAGAGACCCACGGCTTGAGGGGATGGGGTCTGCGCCTGGGGCAGGGACCAGCCTGGCCCATCTCCTGCTGTGGGTCCTGCGCTGCCCTGCCTGTCCCCTGGTACCTGCTGGGCTGTGGTCAGATGGGGAGAACCAGAAGCACTAATGCTTTCACTGATGATTTTTTTTGTACTTTCACTTATTGATTTCCTCACCCTCTTTTTCCTACCAGAAACCATTAGCTGGACGCAAAAGAAATAGTTTAGATTCCCATATAGTCTTAACTTTTTGGAAAATTACATTTTCATGGGGAAAAAGAAAATGACAGAGCTCCAGAACTGTCACAGAGGTGAAGGAACCGCAACTTGCATTGTAGCTCTGCTGAAATGCTTTTTATCTCATGCAGTGAGACTCATTCAGCAACTCATGGTTTTGCTCTCTTGAGTAATAATGCGGTGGGGAGCACACCCTGCTTGCCTTGCTCAGACAAGATGTCTCTTTAAGACAATAAAAGAGTCCTTTAACAAATTATGGTGGTTTTAAGCTAGAAGATGTCATGCATCTCAAAATGATGGCAGTACATTTTGCTTCCCTCCAACCTGTAAGCGCATTGATAGTGTGTCATGTTTATATTCCTCTTTGGCAAATAAAATCTGTTGCTCTGGCAGTCACCTTGAGATTCTGTGTAGTTTCCAAAGAGGTGGGAGGGTTTTGTTGTTTGTTTTTGTTATTTACTTTTGGCTAATTAGGACCAGTTGTTTTAGTTGCTTATTAGACTATCAGAAATTGCTGCTTTACCAGGGCAGTGCTGTGTGGTTTGGATGTATGCTCCACTTACAAATTAAATGTCTTGGTTCTGGTATTGTTAAAATAAGAAGTACAAAAATCCCACAGCTTTGAATTTCATGCCAGATATTCAACAAAGCACTCATTCCATGTATCATTATATTGTGGCTTGAGAAACAGCAGGCCTGCTCTACGCTTAATAGTTTTGCTGGCACGGTTGCGGTGTGCTGTTTCCCCCACCATCCCGGAGTGATACTGTCATGCTGGCAGATGTCCTCACGCGTGGAGTTGCACTGGCACGAGATTCCTTCTGCCTGTGTAACTTTCTCTATTTGGGAAACTGGTTTAAGCTGTGCCTCTTCTGGAGAGAGAGGCTGTGAGGGATGTATCCCTAGCTGCAGGCCCTTCTGAAGTGCAGAGAAGTCCGTAAATATATGAGAGAAAGCGGTCATGTTGTGTTCGCAGGGCACTTTCACTAAAAAGCCTACTGGTTTGGGTTTTTTTGTTGTTGTTGGTTTTTTTCCCACCAGAACTTCTCTCTTGTGTTACAATGATGCTTTGGAGAGCAGGTGAAAATCGGTCCCCTTGTTCTCCAGACCCTGGTGGTGTCTTGGCTCCTTTTCTGTTGCCTGCAACGCTATGTCCTACATCTCATGCTCTTGTTACAAGTGAAAGCCTAAATCAAACTCCAGACTCGGGACCAGAACATCAGTGGTGCTGACCCCCCACAATGGGCAGAGGCACCCGCCTCTGGGTGGGGTGTGAGCAGGGGTGCAGGCACTGAGCTCACCGGGAGGTTGGGTTTGGGCAGTTAGTGTGCCAGCCGTCCGAAGCGGTTGTGTATCACCCTTTTGGGGCCTGTCTCCCCCTGGTTTTATTTTTCCTACTGCATTCAGCCTGCAGCTGAGCCCTAACACCAAACCCTGTGCTTCTCCCGGGGCACTGGCACTGACCTCCCTCTTCGCCACCTTCTGAGATAGTGACAAATCTCCTTTATTTATTCGGTAGTGTCAGTAACCTTTACGCTATTTATAGGCTGTGATCATGCCCCTCCCGAGATGTTTGCAAGATAAATTTAGCTCCCTCAGCTTCTCTTCGCCAGTCCTCGCTGGCTTGTGCTGCCTTTCCTTCTAACAGCTAATGAGCCCCAGCCGTGCGCGGGAGCTGCGGCGAGGGGTGACTCACTTTCTATGCTCGTCCGGGGAAGACTTCATCTCAAATGAATCTCGGTCGTTCAGAGCCTGGGGAGCCCGTCCAAGTGTCCGCTTCCAAAAGGCAGCCGGCAAGGGAGTGGTGGGGGATTAGGCAGAGGAGCGAATGCGGAGGAATGCTGCTGTGGGACGTTGTGTTCAGTGCCCGGGAACAGTGTGGATGGGAGGGGAAGGGGGCCGTGGCAGGAGGGGCCGGGGGCTGCTCGGGGGCCCTGCAGTCCGCTCCCCACTCTGCTGCTAGAGCCTTGCAGGGGACAGGCATCCTGGCCGAGCCTTTCCTCCTCCTGAGGCTGTGGAGCAGGACGGCTCTGAAATGCCAGGCTTTCCCAGGGGGTTCAGGCTGTTCAGGGTGGTGGTCTTCAAAAGAGCATTTTCAGGTGGTCCCTATTGCTGGCGGGTGTTTAGAAGCTAACAGCTTTTGCTGCCAAGGCTGGTTGAACACTGTTTCTCTCCTGATTTGCTGCACAAGGTTATGGGAACAGCAAAATGAAGATTGGTCTACTGGGGGTGGATTTTATCCCATTTCTGTCGTCACAGTAAGAACCCACTTAGAATATGCAGAAATGAGCAGACAACCCCAAAACTCTGAATAAACTGCTCAGTTTTGTAGCTTCAGTCCGAGTTGCTTGTTCTCGGCGAGAGGCCAGTCCCGTGATCCCCTGTGAGCCACACTTGCTGAAGGAGCAAACTGTGGCTCCACTGGGGCTGGGGCAGTTCTGCCGTTAACTTCAGCTGAGCCATTAATTCACCTTGGGAAGGCTCTGGATGGTGTTTTTGGGGGAGGTGGGTGCTTGTTCTGCCAGTCCTCTGAGATCACTGTAAGCAAGCCCATGCGGTGCCAGGCTGGTGCAGCGGGGCCACAGGCGTGTGTCCTGTTCTGCCAGGGACATGGCCAGCCACCGACTTTTGGTCATGTCAGACCAACGCAGCCACGCTGGCTGGAACTAGGCTGCCAGATCCCAAAGCTGGGACTTTGCTGGCACTGAGCTTTCTACCAATAGCCTGGGGTACCCAGACCTACAGCCAGTGCTGGCAAAGTCCACTGCCCTCCTGCGAATCGGTGACCTGAGCAATCGGTGGGTTTACCTTAATAGTGGAAATGAAATTCCATTTGCTCCATTGTGAAGGCTGTGACAGGACAGCAAAACCAGGTGGTTCAATGCCAGCCTTGCTGGGAAACCCTTCCTTAGCTGCTGGAGCAGCCTGCTGTGTGGTGGGAGCAGGCAGCCTCCTCCTGCCAGAATGACATCCCTGATGCATGAGAAATGCAGACTGTCATCCTGGCCAGAGCAGAAACTTCTGCCCGGGGAAGGGCATGCTGCTCCTCTTAAAAGTGTTGGGGCTGGCTGTGACCTCTCAGTCTTCTCTTCCTCTCCTCCTCAGGCTCCCTGCCCCTCTCCAAGCCCAATGGTCTGCCAAGAGAGCGAGTACCTGGACGAGCATCGGAAATGCACGCCCTGCAGAAACTGCATGCCTGGGCAGGAGCTTTCCAAGGTAAATCGGCTGCTCTGGAATGACTGGGAATCATCTAGCACCGAGGCTTTTACAGTGTAGGGGAATCCTCTGCCAGCCTTCCTTCAGAAAGATAATCTTAGGTCCTGGCATGTTGGGAAGAACTGGGACTCGGTAGGAAGGGATGGCGAACAGTTTCGCTCACCCAGGGTAGGAGGGCAAGACAATGGAAGTAGGAGGTGGGAACAGATTTCAGGTTGCTGCTTCGGTTGCCCTCTTTCCTTTTTGCCAATGGAAACCTAAATTTCCCCCCAGTCCGTGGCCCTGAGCGAAGCCGCACTGCCCAGCCAGGCTGCACGCTGGGTGGGTGTGAGCAGGATGCTGCTGCAGGGGTTGCAGCCCAGCTTCGGTGCTGGGAGTCATGTTTCCCACACAGGTGCTCAGCGGGGTCCCCCCCCGCCAGCGATGCCTCCCAGGGCACGTCGCTGCTGGAGCTTTCCTCTTCCCTAAACACGTCTGGTGGGCCACGGCTGGGCAGCAAACGGCTTCCCTGCATGTCTCCGTCAGAGCTGCTCTGGTGGCGTCTGCTCTCGGCTGGGTTCTGAGGACCTTTGGCATGCGCGGTGACCCCTCCACCCTTTGCCCCCAAAGAAGGGACGCCATTCCCCTCGGTACCGCTTCGGGACCTGAAGCAGCTCCTCGCTGCAGCCATGCACCCGACCTCATTCGTGTTTTGCAGGACTGTGGTGACGGCAGCGGGGGGGATGCGCAGTGCGTTGCCTGCCCTCCCAGGAAGTTTAAGGACAGCTGGGGGCATCATGGCTGCAAGCCCTGCCTCTCCTGCAGCCTCATCAACCGCGTCCAGAAGTCCAACTGCACGGCGACGACCAACGCGATCTGCGGGGAGTGCCTGCCGGGGTGAGTGGGGCCGGATTCTGTGGTGGTTGCACCTGGGAGCATGCAGGGGGGGATGGACAGAGGGGTCTTTATCTGAGGCCACCCAGAACATGGGACATAAGAGGAGGCCTGGTGACTCAGGGCTGCCTTTCTGAGGACACTGCTAATGACATGCAAATCGGACCCATCCGATGGCCCCTGTGTAGCCCCAAAGAAGGGAACCTGAAGGGTCCCGTGAACGAGCAGTGGAAGAAAACTCCTTCCAGGCCCAAGTTGTTCCTGTGGACACCAGGGTGGCTAAGCCCTGGAAGATGAGTAGCTGTAGACCGCCAGAGTTGGTGGTCCCCAAAGAAATGGACAGACCATGCCTGGGTGAAGGGTTTAAGGAGTTGCTGAAGTGAAGATTGCCGCATACAACCAGCATGCGAAATGCTCGAGGGCTGCAGACCACGTGCTGGTGAGCAGTGGGACTCGGGACAGAGCAACAAGTTGGGGCTCTGGTTTATGAGCCTCCTCCCAGACACAGTTGTAGGCTGGGGTGTTTCTGTGGCTTCATGGAGCTATTGACCACTGTCAGCCACTTTAGTAGATTGGGGGGGGGAGGCAGTTCGAGTGATGTCACTCCTTGGCCAAAGTGGCAACAGACATGAAAAAGTAGCTGTGGATACGGCTTCAGCCAGTGATGGAGAGACCCGCTGCCTTGGGGCGTCCCAGCCTGCCAGGGCGGGATTGTGGGGGGCCGGCTCTCCCCACGCTGCTGTGGGGTGGACAACATGCCTGTCTCTCCAGAGCCGGGCTGGCCAGGGCTCACTGTGAGGCCGTGCGCTGCTGAGACCCTCTGCTCTGTTGGCAGGTTTTACCGCAAGGCACGGATCAGTGGGCAGCTGGACTGGGAATGCATCCCTTGCACCAAGCAGACGCCTTCTTCCGAGCCTCAGTGTACGTGCTGTCCCTCACCGGTGGTGGGGCGAGCTGCTCTGGGGCAGGGCGGGTGGTGCGGGCACGGTGGAGCAGGTTAATGGTGCATGCGAAGTCATCGTGACCGTGTCAAAGGCGTGCACTTGGATGTGCACCATCCTTTCACCAACACTGCTTGCTGGCCAGCCTGCTCCGCTGGCCACAGCACAAGCTGATGTCCTGCAGACCTGCTGGAGGAGGCACGGTCATTGCGTATGAAGAGGGACGGGCAGTGAGAGGGTGGCCCAAGCTTCGGGGTTAGGCTCCAATGTTTTGTGGCTGGTGTGTTTGCAGGTCGGTCCAGAACAAACCTGGTGAAGGTAGCCGTCCCCACCGTACCGCCGCAGGACACAGCCCTTCTTGCACTGACCAGCAGCGCCCTGGTCATCATCGTACTGGTGCTTCTGGCACTCTCCATCATCTATTGCAAGCGGTTTTGGAAGAGCCAGTGCCAGCGAGGTGAGTCAATGCCCACGGTGCTTCTCCTCCTTCTCCCTTTGCTGGTCACACATGCCCGTGGCCCCCTTCTCGCTGTGTAGAGCATTGCCCCGAGCATTGCTGCTTTTGCAGCACACAGTGACCCAAACGTTCCTCTGTTCATGCAGAATAAAAGCCTCATCCTGCTTCTTAAATCTGCAGGACCTCTCTTGTGCTTTGCCTGCTCAAAGACACGGAGGAGCCTCCCTCCTCCTTAGTACCAGAATTTGGAGGAGAATGCTGTTTCACAGTCAGAACTGGCGATCCTCTCTTCCTGGGGTTTCTGGGGGGTGGGCTGAGGCTGAGTGGCTCTTGGCAGGGCAGGGCCGGAGGACTGGTGAGGGAAGAGGGCAGTAGGTTTGGTGGCTGGGGTCGGGGCACCTTGGCATCCAGCAGCGTGCCAGGGAGCTGCTGGCTCCCGGCTCCTTGCCGGCAGACGTACCACACAGCTGAGGACGTGCTGGGGAAGGAAGCCAAGCCTTTGCTCAGACTGGTTCTCCTCTATCCTCCAAGTCTTCCTGAGGACTCAGAACTTCTCGGGCCAGCGAGCAATGTTCCCGACGGCGGCAGCGCCCGGCAGATTCCTGTGCGAGGAGCAGATGTCTGGTCCCTGCTGCCTGGGTGTGAAGAACCTGAGCCCCTGCTACAGGCAGGCAGAAGGTACCTGCTCCTGCCGCCCTCCTCTTTCTTTGGGGGAGGGAGGGTGGTGCTGGGCTCTGGCTCGTATGGTCCTAGGGCCTACTGAGATGCCCTTAGGCAGGAATGATGGAGCTGGATGGTGTCCGAGTCCCACCAACATGAAATCTGGGACCTCTCTTAAGGAACGCTTGCAGACCTTGTACCAGAAATGCTGGTGTGCACCCCTGGTGGCTCCTGAGCCCCCCCCAGCCTGCTCCTGCTCTTCCCATGACTGGGGGAGGGATCGACCCCGCTCAAAACTTGGCAGAAAGGCACAAAAGTGCCTTTCCTCAGTGGTGGTGCAGGGGACAGGTGTCTGGTCTCTGGCAGGGTGCTCCCAGCTCTGCCCGCAGGCCCTGGGCCAGTGGGTTTAACGGCGGGGCTGGCAGATCCCCCCCTGGAAGGGGCCAGGGCAGATCTGGGGCTTCGCTGAGCCGTGCCGGTTTCTGGTTTCAGGCCCCGTGGAAGCGGTGCAGTTCATTTCGGACGGGGAAGCCGTGGGTCTCCAGCTCCCCTCTCTCCAGCCAGAGATGGACTTGCCACCGGCTATCGCGGTCAGCGGTGCCTCCAAAGCCCAGCTGGGCAGGAGCCTCCTGGAAAGCCAGCCCCTCATCCGGGCATCAGGCCGCAGCGACTGCCTGGCCGGGGTCCTGCCGCCCTCCGACCCCCGGCAGGGCCAGACGGGCACGGCGGAGGCACTGGCCCCCCTCTCCTCCTGCGCCTCCGAGATGCAGCACAAGTGGCCGCACGCCCCGGTGGAGTGCACTGAGCTGGACCTCCAGAAGTTCTCCACCCAGGCGGAGTTTGTGGGCGGCGAGCGGCCAGAGGACGCGGTGAGCCGGGCGGCGCAGAGGAACCCGGCAGAGAGCGGTGGCACGGGGCGGGAGGGGGCCCGGCACCTGCCCTCCACCTTCCCGAATCCCACCGCTGAAAGTGGGGAGCAGCCGGTAAGTTCCTCCAGCCCTGTTGCTCCTCCAAACTGCTGCTGGATGCTCGGGGCTTGGGCACAGGGTGCTGGGCTTGCTGGTGGATTGGGGATGTAGACTAAGGTTCATTAATATCTGGGACTAACTGGTAATTACCAAAAATGATTTGCCAGATGTTTAGTGATGTGTCACTCAACAGGCTGTCAGCCATGGAGATGTGACCTGCTGGGGTGGTTTCAAACACCCAAAAGACGAGTCAGTTTATTGAATGTATAAGGATATCTTTAACTGATGTGCTCTGCTGAGTCCTCTTGCTCTCCAGAAAGCTGACCTGGCTGTGGGGGGAGCTGGTTCCTCCTCCCTCTCTGGTGAGCTCGTAATGAACCCGGTGACTAACATCGTTGAGGCTCAGAAAATGTCTGGCAGAGAGATGCGTTTAACAGCTTAGCTCCAGGTGACCGTTTATGGAAGCAGTTTGCTGGGAGGCCCTGGAGCATCCCAAGGAGGTCGTTGACTCCGTGGGATGGCAGCACTGGAAAGAGAAGTGCTGTTCCCCTGAGCCTCTGTGACGGCCCTGGGAGCAGCAACAGGCATCGCTGTTCTCACCAGACTGCCGCCAACCTCGGGGTCTTTGTCTTGCCAGGTGGATGATGCCCAGAGCCTTGTGACTCAGATCAGCAGCACGGCGAAGGGTAAGTGTCTTTCCAGCCTTGCCTTTGTTCTCCAAGTATTGGGGTAGTGAAGAGAGGCAGATTCTCGGAAGGGAGCTCCTCCAGAAGCCCATGTCACCAGTTACCAGCCTCCCCGGGACTGAGCCAGCTCCATGTTGCTGAGCGCTGAAAGTGATGTTGGAGGAGGTACCTGCCCTGGCAGGGTGGCGTTTCGCCTGCTCAGCAGGGACAAGGGGCTGGAGTCTCGCTGCTCTGTTTACCCTTATCCTAGCCAGGTGGGTTGGTTTCTAACCCCGCTTTGCTGTGTTGCTGCCCCCAGGTCTCCCAGTAGCAGAGCTGCCCCATTCCTTGGTGCAGTCACTTGCCTTCTTGTTGGACCCTTCCTTGAACGGTGTGAAGAACTTCAGCCATGTGGCCCTGGAACTGGGGGTCGCACCCCAGTTGCTGGGACGGATGTCTGGATTTGAGCAGCTCGTCGCTCACTTCACCTACTCGGGAGATGCGGTCACCATCCCAGTCCTGGCCCAAGCTCTGCAGCGGCTCCAGCGGTTCGATGCCTTGCTCCTGCTCTGCGACCACTTTGTGCTCAGCCAGGCTCAGGGCCGCCAGCGCTAGAGAGGACGGGGAAGGGATGGAGGAGGCTCCAGGCACTGTGTGTACTGGTACGGGAGAGGCACTGCTGGCCCTGCGGTCACATAATCTCTCTGGTGTGCACGTGGGGAGTACGTGGAGATGGTCTTTGCATCACAGAACAGAAGGACGCGAGGGGGAGCGTTCCTCCTCAGGGGAGAGCCGAGGGGCTGCAGCCGTGCCTCCTCCCAGCCTCCCCATGGGAGGGTTCACTCAGACCCCTCTGCGGGCCATTTTTCTCCAGCTGCGGTGACCCCCTTGTCCTGCAGTGGAGTGCCATCAGTCACTGTGCCACCCGCGCCGCGGTGCGCTCGCTCTGCAGTGAGCCCCCGTGCTGCCCCTGCTGTTGGCGTGGGGTCCCTCGGCCACGGGGCTTGGTCTCCGCAGGCAGCCACCCTCCTACGGGGCATCACCTCCCTCCCATTCCCGCTTTCCCGTCCTTCATCTGGCCTGTGCTCTGCTCTCCCAGGTGCCGGTTGCCACTTTCCCAGTTTACTTTTCGCTCGCTCCTCTCCCTCTGTGTTGAAGACAGTCCTCGGCAGAGGACCTGGCCATGGCTGCTGTGCCGGGCTCCAGCCTTGTGTTTCCCTGTGCCACTCTGGCACCTTCCCCTTCATGTCCTTTTTTTGAAGCAGTGCAGTTTTCCTGCAGGAGTCTCAGACTGATCCCCAGGGCTGGTTGATGTATGTCCTTGCAGCTCGGTGCTGTGGCTGCCGGCCTGGGGAGGGTGCTGGCTCAGTCCCCGGGCTCCTAGCGTGTGCCCTGGTCCCGCAGACGTCTGCTGACTGCCACCTCCGTGCGCCGGGGCTTTGCAAACCACCCGGCTGCTTCACCACCATGCCCCAGGGAGCAGCCAGCACCAGGCAGCAGCTGGAGGCTGAAGCCGTGACCGTGGCTGCGTCACAGTCAGCAATGACGACCCTGTGCTGGTCATAGCAGAGCTGCCTTGTTTCAAAATCTTTTTTTTTTTTTTTTTTTCCCCTGCCTAAAAATGACCTAATTTTCTCATTTCTGGGAGTAGCTGCTAGGGAGAGGAGCACCCTTCTGCTTCTAATTTCTTCCTGGAGGATTTGTTGGAGCTTGCAATGGTCCCGCCTGTGCCGGGCGCCCCTGATTTCGGCTGTCGTGCCCCGGGGCTGGTGGCTGCAGGTCTCCGGGCTGTTCTCCTGAATCCGCGCCCAGCCTCTGGGGCGGTACACAGGGTTTTGCCCCCTGATGGACGGGCCTTGGGGGGGATGTGGCGGGAGCCCGCGCCGGAGCCGAGCGCTGCTCCTGCCCGTCTCTCTGCAGTTTGGCATGTCTGGCGGGGGCGAGTGCCTGCGCGCAGGGCGAGGCGGCGCGGGGGCGGCCAGGCATGTGGGGAGCTGCCCCGGCGCGGCTGCCAGCCGGCGTGGGGCCAAGGCGGCGGTGCCGGCACCCGGCCGCGGATGCCGTTCCTGCTGAGGTCATGGGCAGAGCAGCCGGCGGGCGCCGGCGACCCGCAGCTCTCCGCGACCGGCCGTTCAGGTGGCATCCCAACAGCGTCACCCTGGGTTGTCCCGGGACCCCTGGGCGGCATCGCGGGGGCTGAGCCGGCGGTACTCGCTTCGTTGCTTTGTCCCTCAACGCTGCGGCTGGATCCGGCGAGCGGTTTCTGCGTTCTCCCCTGTCACCGGTGGCCGTGGCCGGGCCGGCGGCGCGGCGGTCGCCAGCAAGCGGCACTGTTACCCTGCCGCCCGCCCGGGCACCCGCCGGGCATCCCCGGCTGAGCTCCCGTTTTTTGCCTTTTATCTGACCACAGTACTCGGAAAAAGCGGGCGACCTTCTGGGAAGGCAGCCCTTTCCTCAGATCTGCCCGCACGCGGGTATTAATAGCTGCTGTTCTTTTTTCTTTTCCCCGTTAAATGCTGTTAAGACTTGAACGCGCTCAGGATGTGGTTAGATAAGGGGAGGCCCGGGCAGTTTCAGCTGGATGTGACACTTTCTCTCCCCTGCTGTTTGTTTCTTCCAAAGGCAAGGTCATTTTATTGCTCTTCGCTCCGCAAGGCCCAGAAGTATTAGACCTTGTACCCATTTTAGGCTGGGGTTAGTCAGGCGCTCGTTACACAGTCGGTCTGTTACAGAGCAGTCGGGAAAAGTATTGCTAAAGCAAACACAGCCCGGGGTCAGGGTTTTTTCATTTGAGGTTTATCTGCGGCAGGGAGAAAACATTTGGATTAATCACATAACAAAATTGAATAAATATTTAATCCCTCTGTGGACACACTTAGTCACTTCCAGCGGGAGCGAAGATAAATTCACCTACAGCGTCTGAGTCAGAGCATTCATGCAGCTCAACTTGTCAGCTCTGGCTTTGAAGTTGGAACTGGTCTGGGTGGGTGGCTTGTCCTGCGTGTCCCTGTGTATGCGTGTCACTGGTGCCACCAGTGAGTGGTCCCTCGGGGTGCCCAGAGCCATGAGCTGGCCTCCTCCTGTCCCACGGCAGCATCGGGAGCAAGGGATGGGCAGGAACGGCTGTTAAATTAAAAACACTGAATAATGAGGAAATCGTCCCACGTGTGTGCTGCAGGTCCTTGCGTTTGTCCCTCCCACACATGCTGAGCAGTTCTGCTGGTGTGCCAGTGGGTGGGCTCTGGACCCACTGGATGGATTATTTTTAAAATTTTTTTTCTCCCTTTAAAGAAATCAACCCCATTCCCTTCATAGTTTTTAAGGTAAACTATTATTTTTCACCTGTTTGATGTCTGAGCAATATTATTCACCATCAAAACTCAACCTCTGCCTCGAGGCTGAGGAGGTGGCGCGTAAGGTGGGCGTGTGCCGTGCCATATACAATGTGCAGGGTGGGTTTGTGCGCATCACATACAATGTGTAGGGTGGGTTTGTGCGCATCACATACAATGTGTAGGGTGGGTTTGTGCCCCTCTGGGTGCTGCCCCTTGAGCCCCTCACTGCCTGCCGCGCTGGAGTGGCAGGAGCTGGCAGTGCAAGGCAGGGGTGGTTTTAAGTGTGTTATAACTGTTCTCAGTCCCACCCAGAGCCTCATATGCGGTCTCAGTGCAAGTCGCCGTGGTTGGTGCTCCAGGGAGGCTTGACCCCGCATGAGAGCATTGCAGGACAGGGATTTTCAGCTGTGGAATTTTATATTTTACATTACACATTTTACAGCCCCAGCTCCCAAGGGCTGTTCCCCACTTTCACTGGTGTCTGTGGCGGGCACCCTCCTTCCAGCTGTGGTGACAAAAATCAGCTGTGTTTACATGGGCCAAAACTTCTACAGGTGGCCTTTAACTTACCCCGCTGGGGACCCTTTTGGCTGGATTGCCGCAAGCCCAGCTAAAGCCCTCGGGAGATGGGGAACCATGAGAGCCTGAAAACAGGCAATAACGCTGCAATTTGGACATCAAAAATGGTGGCAGTCCCTGGGCGGTGAATTTCTTTAGCTGGGAACCAATGGACTTGATACTTGACTTTTGCTTTTTTAATAGTATTTTCAGCACAATACATGGAATGTAAGGGAAGGAAATTCCTATAGCGCTGGATCTCACGTTGCAGCATCAGGAAGCTGTTCATGCCAAGCTGGCATGGCTCAAAAACAGTTGAAAGAAATCAAGTAATTCAGCATCTGTGCAAAATTTAGCTGGGGCTGAACAGTGGAAATACTCTTGTGCAGTGGGATTATTTTTTTACAAGTGATTGGTTTTGACACCACTCTTGTCTGGAAGTCTGATTTGCAGAGGAATTTATATGATAAGTTTAAATCCAGCCCTGTTCTGGAAAGCTCTTAAGTGTAGACTTAAAATAGGCATATACTTAAATCCTATTAAAGTGTTAATTAAAATGAACAATTAGTACATCCTTGGGTGCTTTTCTTGAACAGAGTGCTTATAAGAATTGTACCTTCAATATGCTCTTAGAGAAGCGGGCAATACTGAAGAAAACTCAGTTTTAATCATCTGGGCACACTTCTCAGAAAAGTCTGCAAGTGTTAGGGGGAAATGCCCTGTGTGTTTTGGATTACTTAATAATGCAGACTCTGGTGCTTTTTTTAGGAAAATAATAAATACATTTCTGTAGCCATGGCTTACCTAGGGGAATACATGGTATTTTTTATGGTGGATGTTATTTTTCTTTAAGGTTATGAATAGGTTATTTATATTTTTGTAAATTCTGTGTCATTACCATTGTAATTCTGAAGTGGAGTTGTTCCTGTTGTTTTGGGGGTGATGTCTGTATTCAAATAAAGCAGTAGCTGAAGCTCCTGCCCTTTTTGTTAAACAAGGCGTGTGTGCGTGCCCCACATTCCTCCCAGACCTGGTGCTCTCGAATGCTCTATGTTTGTAGTTGAATAAATTTCAGAGCTGGAGGTGGTGATGCTGGCTGAGTTTTGATTCCTCTCCCCTCCTGCCTGCGGGTCTGTCCACTGGGCAGGAGCGTGCGGACGAGCGTGGCCCCAAGCCCCCCCTGCCCGCCCACGGGTATGGGCAAACGCCACGCAGTGCGGACCCAGCCGTGTGCCCTGGCCACGGGGTCCGGTGGAGGGGTCTGTCTGACAGGGGCAGGCAGCACTTCTCATAGAGGGATGCTGTTGCAGCTGAGTCCAACGTGACCTTGTGACGCTGGTGTGGGAATGGGGCAGGAATGGCTTGAGAGGAGCGGCCGCGGCCCCCAGTCCCTTCCCCATGAGGTGCCTGCCCCAGTCAGGGGGCATCGGCTGCTGTTGTGCAGGTTTAATCTTCCTCAGAAGGGTCAGATCCTAGGTGGGGTACATTGCGTGGCCTGGGGATGGGGAGGAGGCAGAGACTGCATAAACGATGCCCAAGGAGATCCCGTTCCTGAAGCTTTGCTGAGGAGCAGTTGTTCTTTAGGCTCGGTAATTACAGTGCTCATTAAGTCTGTTCATGCCCTTACACTTGGTCGGTTCTTTAAAATAATTATTAGAATGAAGGATATGATGATTTTCTTTCCTAATTAAAGCTATTATACTTCTCCGAACTCTCGCAGGC